CAATTTGTTGGTATATAATTGTTAATAGGAGTCTCTTATGATTCTTATTATCTCTATCAGTTATAATATTTTCTTTCATTTTTTATATTTGGATCTTTTTTCTTAGTCTGTCCAGAAGTTCATTTTACTTATTTTTTTAAATTCTTCATTTTGTTCATCTTTTCTATTGTCTTTCTAATCACTGTGTCATTTATTTATGCTCTGATCTTTTATCTTTGGGATTAGTTTGTCCTTTATGTAGTTCCTTGAGGTGTAATGTTAGGTTGTTTATTTGAAATATTTTTTTAAAGAAAATGTGGACATTACTGCTATAAAAATTCCTCTTACAAGTACTTTTGCCATATCTTATAAGTTTTGATATTTTATGTTTCCATTTGTTTTTCTCAAGATATTTTATATTTCCCTCTTGATTTCTTCTTAGGATCATAGGATATCAGCAGGATAGGATGTTGTTTAACTTTTAAGTATTTATAAATTTTTCTGTGATCTTTTGTAATTGATTTATAATTTTTTGGCATCTTGGTTTGAAAAGATGATTGGTATGATTTCAATCTTCTTATATTTTTTGACTTGTTTTGTCAGAGAATTTGTGATCTATCCTAGAGAATGCTACATGTGTATGCTTGAGAAGAATGGTTATTTTGCTGATGTTGGAAGAAATGCTTATATATATGTATGTTAGGTCCATCTGTATCCAATGTTTTCTTATTAATTTTCTGTCTGGATAATCTATCCACTAATAAAAGCAGGGTAATCAATCCTGCTGATATTGTTGTGTTGTTGTCTGCTTGTACCTTAGATCTCTTAATAGTTGCTTCATATATTTGGGTGCTCTGAAGTTGGGTGCATAACTATTTATAATTGTTATATCCAAAATAACAAAAATCCAGAGAGTCTCTGAGTCAGTGTATAATCAAGCCACTATCAACTTCAAGAAAATCTTAGAAGTGCTTTTCTTTGCTCACTTTGCCTTTCCCCTTGCTGTAGCAGATTTCTTATAGCTTGTAGAACATGTCATTTTATTCCTGTTATACCTTTGGATGATTTCTCAATCGGAAGCTCTCTTCCATAGGCCCTTCTCATCCTGTTACTCTATGTAAAGTATGTTCCCTCTTTGGTACTCAATATTTTTCACAATCTTTATACTTGTTTATTCAGTTTCTTCCACTGGACTGTGAGATCCATAAGGATAGTAATTGTCCCCGGAATAGATAGGTGCTCAATAAATATTTCTTGAGGGAATAATTATTTTGAAAAATTAAGTTTTTCTAAGTAGAATTTTTGGCATACGGTATGTATATTTTAGAAACTTTTGATATTAACTTTCAAGTTATCCGGAATAAAGATTATATCAATTTAAATTCCTGCTATTAATGTAGAAGACCATCCATTTAATAATATGTCCCATTTTTGGTGGGTGGCATATTATCTCTAAAATAATCTTTGCTGATTTTACATTGGTGTTATTTTAATTTTAAGTTTAGAAGCAAATTTTATCTTTTATATATTTATTGTTCATTTATTTTCTCTAAATTTGCTATTTATGTCCTTTGGTAATATTTTATTGTTATATTTAAATTAATTTCTAAGATCTTTTAATATATTAGGTATAGCTCTTTGTCTATTTGATATTTTGTACTTATTTTTCCTGTTTTTTATTGTATTTTAATTTTGTTTATTTTTAATACAAAGATTTTATAATTTTATGGTTTCCATTATAACCCTTACATTGGAATTGTCCTTACTAAGGCTAAATAAAATTACCAATAAACTTGTAGTTGTTACATTCAATGGGCACTTTTCAGACTTTATTTTATTTGATCTACTTAATTAAGAACAAAGCAATATAAGTCACAGTTTAGATGGTCTACATTAATTTGGAACATCTCTGCCATCTCTAAATTATAGCATAAAGTCATTAAAATTATAAATAAAATTAAGGGCCGCTCAGCAAATTTGTTTTTGGTAAAATTAAATGCAAGTCTTTGGGTAGAGGCCTTTCAGCAAATCCCTCTGTTTTTTTCTGATTTTGGAAATGAGCCAAATATTGTATAAATAAAGGAAGGACAGAAAGGGGGGAGGAAATGGAGGATGCAAGGGGCAGGGGAGGCTGGGATGGGAAAAATAGACAAAAAACTGTACTTGAAAAATAACTAAATAAAATTAAGAAAAAAAAAAACTAAATGGCAGACTTGAGTCACAGATAAAAATAAAGCCCTAGAGGGTGATAAAAAGTCAGAAGGCATAACAGGTAGAATTAAAAAATATGAGGCTCTGAAAAGATATATTAGTTTCCTATCGTTTCCATAAGAAAATTACCACAAACGGGGTTAAAATAACACTTTTATTCTCTCACAGCTGTAGAGCCCTGTCTCAGGTGTTGGCAGGGCTGTAATCCCTCTGAAACCTCTGAGGGAGGATTGTTTGTTGTTCTTCCAGTTTTTGGTATTTCTTGGTTCACTGTTTTGTGGCAACATAACTCCAATCCCTGCCCCCATGTCGCATGGCCACATGGCTCTCTATCTTTTTGTGTTCAAATTTTTCTCTTCTCTGATAGTACTGTCTTAACCTGATTACATTCACAAAGAGTTTGTTTCCAAATAAGATCTCATTCACAGGTGCTGGGAATTAGGACTTCAGCCTATCTTTTTGGTGTATGCAACTCAATCTATAACAGATGTGAACCAAATGAAGTGGAGACAGCTGAAATATGTGAGATTGCCAGAACAAAGGGTAAACACCAGACCATAACTAGACAAGACAGATTGGGTAGTGATTAGTTGGCTAGGTAGATCATCAGGGCAAAAGGATCATTGTGGATGTTAGTAAATATGATGAGAAAATGCTTTATGAAATTCTGCATAATTGTATTTGGAATTTCAATTAAATTTTAATGGATTATTTAGGCATATTAATTTGCTTCTATTTATAAGAGAATATAGAGGGCTGTTTACGATGATAGTTTGTAGTTTGGTATGTAATTAAGAGAGAAAGATCCAGTTTTTCATTATTTCATGGAGGAAAAATGATAAATATCAAAGATTAGGAAATTGCTCATTTAATTTAACTAAATTGGCAATTCGGTTTATGTCTATAGAAAATGTGACAAAATTTTACTGAAGCAGAGGCAGTAGAATTAATACAATACAGGCAATGTTATATTAACCCTATTAGTACTATGCTGTTTTTTTTTAAAGATTTTATTTATTTATCTTTAGAGGGGAAGGGAAGAAGAGAAGGAGAGAAACATCAATGTATGGTTGCATTTGTGCATCCCCTGCTGGGAACTGGCCTGCAGGGAACCTGCCTGCAACCTGGGCATGTGCCCTGAATACTATGCTGTTTTTGACATTTACTTCTTATTATAAATGGGATCAAAATAGACTCTGAAGATACTACATAAAATGTCAGAAATTTGACTATGAAATACACATACAGTATTTTATGGATGCAGTTGAGAAGAACACCAGACCTCAAAGAGACTGGTAAATAACCCAGTTTTCAAACCGTAGCTGATATTAAAACCTATGTTAATTCGATTATAAAATGACTATTGTTTTACTTAACTTTAGTAAATCTGAAAAAGATGTAACACAGTAGAATAGCGCTAACAAAGATTAGAGCAGAACAAGTTGAGATGTAGGGCAAGCATTGTGATTTCTAATCACATTCCTCTAATTACACCAAACAAGTTTTCACTGATCGCTGCCAAGAGACAGTCTGTTTTATGGGTTGGGTCAAAAACTGTGAAAAGTGATCATTTATTTGACTAAAATGATCTAGCTATGGTTATGACTAATGTATGTCAAATAATGGAAATTATTCAATGGTATTTTATAATTCTTAGAAGCAATATAGTATTAAAAATTTTAAAAATATTCTGGGTTAATGAAGTCATAATTATTGTTGAGATTGTCTATTACTTTTTCTCTTGTGATTATACTATATTTTAAACTCCATCTTTTCCTCTTTAACTTTTCTTAGACTACAGGAATATGTTTTTGCACATCTTTTGACCAATTTTCATTTTTCTGATAAAATTTTTGTGTTGAATATAAATTTAAAGTTTTATTTGTATCCCATATAGAATATAGGTCTATTTACAGTTTGCTAAATAGAGTTCCTGTTTTTCCAAACTTCTATTTAAAATTTTTATTTTCATTGGGGAATTCATTCCTATGTAGTTGTTAAGCAGAGTATGTAGTGATTACATCAAAAATTCATTTTATTTCACCTGATATATTTTATGACTCAACATTATTTGGCAAACTTTGGGTAAAACTGCATTCTGAAATTGTTGAAAATAAAAATATCCAGCATGCTATATTATAGATACATTAGTCACTTTTGGTTCTGAGTCCTAAAAATATAAGAAAGGAGTTTACGTGGATATGGACCTCAGAACTCAAAGTTTTTGAACAATATTAACTTTCTTTCAAGTCACATAAAATACATTAATGGAATACTGTCATTTATATTTTAGCAGTTGTTTTCTCCAACAATTGAAAATAGCCTGCAGCATTCTGAATTTTGCAATATAACTGTCTTTGATAGTAGGATGAAAAGAACAGAAATTGAAAACTCAAAAGCATTGACTTTAGCTATTAGAGAGCAGTTTACCTCATTTTTCTCTGATAAATTCTTTCTCAATTTGATGTTTCTAACAGTAGATCTCTCACTTGCAGCCATTGTCCATGAGTGTTCACCAAGTTAAAAATTGCTGGGAATACCACAGACGGAACATTGTAGTGAGAATTGCCTGTGATGTCATAGACCCTTGCGGGAGACTTCTAGAAGTGAGAGTCATACTAGAGACTAAACAAAAAAGATGCTTACTGAGTAAGTTGGGGTCCAACAAGAGTGTAATACAGGATTCAGTAATTTATGGATTACTTCTTTTCTGAGAGAGCTCAACAAAGTAACACTTAATGAAGGAGGGTAAAGGCTTAGCCATCTGGTACATTGTGATTATTGAAATTTGAAATTCACAAGTTTTATATATGGAAGAGAGTGATGAACATGACCAGCATATTTCAGCAGGGAGAAAAGAAATTCGAAAGAGAAGAATACCCAGCCAACCAATGGTAGACAAATCCCAACAGACTGAAGTATCGGAGAAAAAGAAACCCCTGTCCATGCCTCAATCATGTGACCTTAAAGCTACCCTTAATATTAGTAATATTTCTGGAGGCACAGACAACTATGAGTCTCTTAGATTATCTGCTCAACTTCAGCAAACTTGGACAAAGAGAAAGCATGTGCAAGATATGACTGATAAATCTCTGCAGACAGACAGTAATGTAGAAGAAAAAAAAGAAAGAAAGTCCATTGCTACAGCAGGGGTACCTGAAGAAAAGCCAGCTGCTATTGAAGAAGCAGCTCCTGAATTTCTAGAGAGTGTTCATGAAGCTGAAATTCCGCCAAGCAAACACTCAGCTCAATTCCAAATAGACAGATCTCAGCAGACCAGTTGTACTGGAGACTGGGCAATGATGTGCGTTCCTTGTGTGGAAAAAGTGGATAAAGAACAGCAGACCTACTTTGATGATCCAGAAATAATGGTTATTGGCAGACCAAGCAGTTCTTCCTTGAAGTCCAAGGAGGACGGGCAGAAACGTAAATCCTCAGGGAAGATTTTCATTACTGAACAACCTGTAACAAGTAGTAATGAAGAAATTAGGCGGAAGAGTATCAACAGATCTTCATTTAGTCAACAAATGAAAACAGGTACTCCAGTACTTTTAGATAAGCATGACTTTCCTGCTGAAGTACAGCCACCCAGTGTAGAAAAGATCCCTGCTGAAGTGCAGTCTCCACCAGCTGAGAAGACTCCTGCAGAAGAGGCCCCTGGTGAACTTCAAGCTCCACCCGCAGATGAGGCCCCTGCTAAGGTAGAGTCTACCCTTGCTGAAGAATCTCTTTTAGAAGTGCCTCCCTCTGAAGTTCAGCCTCCAATAGCTGAAGGGGCTCCTGTTGAAATACAGCCTTCCCAAGCTGAAGAAGCTCATACAGAGAAGGCCCCTGCTGAAGTTCAGACTCTACCAGCTGAGGAGGCCACTAAAGAACGGGCCCCTAAAGAAGAGGCCCCAGCTGAAGTAGCACCTACCCCTGATGTACAGGCTCTTTCAGAAGAGACTTATGTTTACACTAATCCTCCATTGACTGCAGATACTCCTGCATCAGAGGCCACAGAATTTCAACCTCCGCCACCTATAGAAGGCCCTGCAGAATGGATCCCAGCTGAACTTCAGCTTCCATTGGCCAAGGAGCTTCCTACTGAGGAGATCACTGCAGGAGAGGCCCCTCTCCAAGTTCAGACTCTAGTAACTGAGGACTTTCCTGAAGAAGAAGCACCAGCTAAAGTTCAGCCTCCACATGCTGAGGGGTTTCCTGCAGAAGAGGCCCCAGTTGAAGTTCAATCTCCACCTCCTGAGGGGTTCCCTGAACAAGAGGTCTCAGTTGAAGTTCAGTCTCCACCTGCTGAGGGGTTCCCTGAAGAAGAGGCCCCAGCTGCAGTTCAGACTACACCTGCTGAGGGGTTCCCTGCAGAAGAGGCCCCAGCTGCAGTTCAGTCTCCACCTGCTGAGGGGTTCCCTGCAGAAGAGGCCCCAGCTGAAGTTCAGTCTCCACCTGTTGAGGGGTTTCATGCAGAAGAGGCCCCAGCTGCAGTTCAGTCTCCACTAGCTGAGGGGTTCCCTGAAGAAGAAGCACCAGCTGAAGTTCAGTCTCCACCAGCTGAGGGCTTCCCTGAACAAGAGGCCCCAGCTGCAGTTCAGTCTCCACCTGCTGAAGGGTTCCCTGCAGAAGAGGCCCCAGCTGCAGTTCAGTCTCCACCTGCTGAGGGGTTCCCTGCAGAAGAGGCCCCAGCTGCAGTTCAGTCTCCACCTGCTGAGGGGTTCCCTGCAAAAGAGGCCCCAGCTGAAGTTCAGTCTCCACCTGTTGAGGGGTTTCATGCAGAAGAGGCCCCAGCTGTAGTTCAGTCTCCACCTGCTGAGGGCTTCCCTGCAGAAGAGGCCCCAGCTGCAGTTCAGTCTCCACCTGCTGAGGGGTTCCCTGAAGAAGAGGCCCCAGCTGCAGTTCAGTCTCCACCTGCTGAGGGGTTCCCTGCAGAAGAGGCCCCAGCTGCAGTTCAGTCTCCACCTGCTGAGGGCTTCCCTGCAGAAGAAGCCCCAGCTGAAGTTCAGTCTCCACCTGCTGAGGGGTTCCCTGCAGAAGAGGCCCCAGCTGCAGTTCAGTCTCCACCTGCTGAGGGCTTCCCTGCAGAAGAGGCCCCAGTTAAAGTTCAGTCTCCACCTGCTGAGGGCTTCCCTGCAGAAGAGGCACCAGTTGAAGTTCAGTCTCCACCTGCTGAGGGGTTCCCTGCAGAAGAGGCCCCAGCTGAAGTTCAGTCTCCACCTGCTGAGGGGTTCCCTGCAGAAGAGGCCCCAGTTGAAGTTCAGTCTCCACCTGCTGAGGGGTTTCCTGCAGAAGAGGCCTCAGTTAAAGAGGCCTCAGTTAAAGTTCAGTCTCCACCAGCTGAGGGCTTCCCTGAAGAGGCCCCAGCCGCAGTTCAGTCTCCACCTGCTGAGAAGGCCTCTGCAGAAGAGACTTATGCTGAACTGCAGTTTCTACCGACCCAAGAAACTACTTCAGAAATGGTCCTTGTTGACAAACAACCCCCATCATCTGAAGAGGCCTCTGTCACACGCATCTCTGTAAAAGATTCCCCAGGTGCTGCTCAGCCTCCACTATCTGAAGAAGCCCCTGCGGATGAAGCTCTGGTAGAGAATGTGTCTATGGAATATCAATCTTCCAAGACAATAGATGTCCCAGTGGTAAAATCAGAATCAGCAACTTTAAAAGATGAACCCAAATCTGGAGAGCCTTTAACACTGGAATCTTCCTGAAGAGGTGTCTAATATAGAGAAAGAACAGGTTTCTCCTGTTGAAATGGAGGGTGACATCCATATGGATCTAAAATAGAGGCCTCTTTCCCAGCTATAGGGAGGTCTTAACTAAGCTATTAGAGACTAGGGGGTTCTGGAAGGACATACTTTGCAAAAAGATAGTCATTTGAAAGTAGCTTTGTGAATAAGGAAATGAAAGAAAACCCCAAGATGTGAACTGCTGGTTGGAGAATGAACAATAAAAACAAGTGGTTTGAAATTACTTGTTATTTTTCATTTAGTCTAGAGTGTGTAAAATAACTATTTTCAAATAAGTTTATGATTGCAATAATTGCTTAAGATATCCTCTTTGACAAGGAGAAAATATACAGCCATATTTTCTTTTCTCTACATGTAGCTTGTAGTAAAAAAAGGCATTTTCTTTGGTTCCTTTATCTATTTTAAGTTCCTTGAGTCTGAGTCACCCATCTAAAGTTATGTGCTATTTTCCTTCTCAGTAAATTCTTCACATCTCTTATTCTCTTTCTATTTGATTCTTTGTGAGACAGACATTGCTATCCTGTATTCACCCCTATTTTCTTGCACATTTTACATTTCGATGTCTAGATAGGGAAACCTATTTTCTTTGTAAAAATCTTCATAGATAACCATGGGTGAATATTTTTTAAAATGTGTAAACATAAAGAAACATATACTTAGATTGCCTTGAGCGCATATTCTTATTTAGTTTTGATTTCATTTCAAGTTACAATGGGATGAGTTCTTACGAAGCTTGGCTTATGTTTTTGCACTCTGAACTTGTGACAAAAAACTTAGTTAAATTACTATAGTATAAGCTATTGACAGTTTTAAAGAGTAATTATGGATTATTATCTATTATTAAAGGACATCTTGATTTTTATGATTATAGCAAAATTTGGGAAAATATTTTGTATAATTACAGTGTTCTAAATTTGATGTTCTAAAATGATGAGATGATTCTTATAAGAATTTTAATTTGATATATGTATTTCTTTGTTTAGTGAAAACTCTAGGTTGATGATTCTAAAAGGTGTTAAGCTTTGATGCATTATAGTTTTTATGTGTACCAGTCACCCCTGCTCACATAAAGGATTGGTCCCAGGCCCCCCACAGATGCCAAAATCCAAGAATGCTCAAGTCCCATATGTAAAATGGTATAGTACAAAATGTAGCTGGCCCTCCATACCTGTGAATTCCCAATTACAGATCGAAAATACTGTTTTTGATTGTAGTTGATTAAATTCACAAATGAGGAAGGCATAGTATGGAGGGTTAAATACATGTTGTTGTTTTTTAGAATATGTGACCAAATTTGAGATTGAAGAACATTATTCTAGGCTTGATGGGGGTTGCTGTTTTGATATTTTCAAGACTATTTTATTTTATGTTTTCTGAGATACTCAAAATTCAGTTAAAATTATTTTGTCTAAATTTGCAGATTTTTTAAAAATTTTAGATATTCTATTGTGGCTTTTTTCCATTGTTTTTTTTTTAATTATTTTGGATTTGCTTTTTTATCCAGCTTTATTGAGATATAATTGATTTATAACATTGTATAAATTTAAGTTATACAATGTGATGATTTGCTGCATGTAACTTTGTGAAATATTTGCCTCAATGAAGTTAAAATATCCATCGTGTGATATAATTACAACTTTTTAGTTGGTGAGATAATTTAAGGTCTACTCTCTTATCAACTTTCAAGTATATAATATAGAAAGTATCCAGCCATGTAATATGAAAAATAGAGACATTTACTGAAGAAGATACAAGATACAAGAAACATTGTATATAGGACCATGACACCTCACTTCTCTTCAAAGTAGGCCTCTTGGGACCTCACACAGTTCTCCCAGTGTCTCTTCCACTGTTCAAAACACTCTGCAAGATTCTTTTTTGGGATCACCATCAGCTGCCCTGTCACACAAGTCTTTTCCTGAACCTCATAGATGGTCTGAAATCTTTTCCCTTTCAAAGGTGGTTTTAGTTTTGGGAAAAGCGAGAAGTCACAGGGCTGCAAATCTGACCTGTATCGGGGCTAAATCACCTGGATGATTTGATGTTTCATTTAAAAACTATGCAGGAGATGGGATGCATGAGTGGGCATGTTGTGATGAAGATGCCAATCACCAGTTGCCCATAGCTGTGTCATTTTTATTGTATTTCATTTTTCAACCAATGAAGAACATTGAGATAATACTTCTTACTAATTGTTTGGCCTGGAGGGGCATACTCGTGATGGACAACATCTTCCCAATCAAAAACATCCAGTTAATATGGTCTTGATCTTGTTGCTGTTTTGTGTGTGGAGAACCAGGCAACTTCCACTGGGGCGACTGGACCTTTGTTTCTGGGTCTTAGCCATGGACCCACACTTCATCTCAGGTTATGACCTTCTTGAGGAAATTTGGTTCATTGTTAGCAGTTTGAATCAAGTCATTAGCAACTGCAGCACAATGTTTCTTCTGCTCTGGCAGCAGAAGCCATAGAATGAATTTTGCCATGGCACATTTTATGCCAAGATCCTGCGTCAAAATCTTGGACACAGTATTTTTTGAAATACACATATCCAAAGATCAGCTTCTAGCAGTCTTCTTGGCACTAACAGTCTCCAGTGTTTGTTGATTGCAGCCAGTACACGTATGATATTCTCAGGTGGTTCTGCTTGTTGCAGGCCTTCCAGAACGTGGATCATTTCAATAGATTCTTGACCATCTTTGAAGCATTTGTGCCACACTTTTATTTGCGCTGCATTCATTGCGTTGTCTCCAAAGTCTTCTGAATCATCCAGGTAGTTTCCTCGGAGGAATGTTCAAGCTTAATGCAAAATTTGATGCAGATTCTTTGCTCTACTCACTCAGTCATTTTGAATGCAACAACCACACAGTATATATGCTCACTCAATGGCATCTACTGTCCCCACTGACTAGTACAGTGAAATCATTCATGTTAACTACAGGACAGTCATACACGTTAACTATAACTAAGTACAGTTAATGCATGCATGTTCCAGTGCATTCTCCTTGGCTGCCAGGTTACATCAATGTTGTGCAAACCATTCTCTTTATATTAACAATGGCTGGACTTTTACTGGACATACCTTGTGTAATACATACTCACCATTTGGCACACCAGATGCTCAGAACTTACTCATAACTGGAAGTTGTACCCTTCAACCAATATCTCCCATTTCCCCTACCCCTTAACTCCTAGGAACCACTATTCTACTCTTTGTTTTTATGAGTTTTTAGATTCCACACAAAAATGATATCATATAATATTTGTCTTTCTTTGTCTGACTTATTTCATTTAACATAATACCCTGAGGGTCCATCCATGTTGTCACCAATAACAAGATTTTCTTTTTTTAAAAATTATTATTATTAGGACTGAACATTATACCATTGTGTATATGTATACCACATCTTGTTTATCCATCTATCCACTGATAAAAAGTTAGGTTGTTTTCATACCCTGGCTATTATAATGCTGCAATGAATGGGAAAGTACAGATATCTCTTTTAGGTGATAATTTTACTTCATTTGGAATTAAATAAGATTGCTAAATCATATGGTAGCTCCACTTTCAATTTCTTGAGGAACCTTAATTCTATTTTTATAATGGCTATACCAGTTTAGATTTCCATTGGCAGTGTGCAAGTGTTCCCAATTCTCTACAGTCTCTCCAGCATCTGTTTTGTTTGTCTTTTTGACAATAGACATCCTAACATATGTGAGTTGATATCTTATTTTGGTTGTGATTTGCATTTCCTGGTAATTAGTGATGTTAGGTATATTGGGTTTTTTTTTTGGCTATAAAGTTGAATGAATTCCTTATATGTTTTGAATATTAACTCATTATCAGATATGTACCTTGCAAATATGTTTTCCCATTCCAAAGGTTGCCTTTTCATTTCGTTGATAGATTCTTTTGCTGTGTGATAGAATCTTAATTGGATGTAGTTTCACTTGTTCATTTTTGGTTTTGTTGCCAATGTCAAGAACATTACCCCCTTTTTTCTTCTTTTGGGAGTTTTATGGCTTCAGGTCTTATGTTCAAGTCTTTAATCTAATTTGAGTTGGTTTTTGTGCATGGTATATAATAAGGGTTCAGTTTTATTGTTTTGCTTATGGTTATCCAACTTTTCCAGTCTTATTTAGTGTATAGACTACATTTTTTTCACTGTGTAATTTTCATATGTTTGTTAAAAATTAATCATACATGCAAGGGTTTATTTCTAAGCTCTATGTTCCATCAATCTATGTGTCCATTTTAGTGGCATTAATATACTTTTTTTCACTATTATAGCTTTGTAGTATAGTTTGAAATCAGGAAGTGTAATGCCTCTACCTTTGTTCTTTTTTTGCAAAGTGGCTTTGGCTATTTTGGGTCTTTTGTGATTCCATAATTTTTAGAATTTCTATTTCTGTTCCTGTAAAATGCAATTGCAATTTTGATAGGCATTGCATTCAATCTATAGAGATCACTTTGGGTGGTATGAACATTTTAAAAATATTATTTTTTCAATTTCATATTTTGAAGATGGCATATTTTTAAATTTATTTGTGTTGTCTTCAGTTTGTTTCATCAATGTCTTATAGTTTTCAGTGTAGAGACATTTCATCTCTCAGGTTAATTTGTTCCTAAGTATTTTATTGTTTTTGATTGTATTGTAAATGAGACCATTTTCTTAATTTTTCTTTCCAACAATTTATTTTTATTGTATAGAAACTCAAGTGATTTTTGTGTTTATTTTGTATTCTCCAACTTTACTGAATTGATTTATTCTAACAATTTTTAGTGAAGCTTTTAGAATTTTCTATGTAAAATATACAACTTTCAAAGAGACCATTTTACTTTTTCCATTCCAATTTAGATGCCTTTTATATATTTTTCTTGACTAGTTGCTCTGACTGGGTCTTCCAGTAATATATTGAATAAAGTGGCAAGAGTAGGAATCTCTGTCTTGTTTATGATC